GGCTCCACCCCCCAAAAAAGGTCTTCCCCACCCCAGAGTTGGCCACCCTGCCAAAAAGAGAAACTCTTTTTTTGGGGGGGGGGAATCCTGGGACCCTTTTGTCACCCCAGAAGCCCCTGGAACCAGGCAAGCCGGGAGACTGATTTTTGCATGATGTTTGTGGTGAATGAATGAATGATCATACGGCATTGGATGTAGTATAGCCAGGAGAGCCGAAGATTGTCTGGCAGCTGAAACCTCTAGCTTTTTTGTAAGTGTGTGGCAAGCTAGGTTTATTTTTTGGGCTGAGAGAACTGTGACTAACCAAAGGTCACCCAGCTGGCTTCAAGTGGAGGAGTGGGGAATTGAACCCAGTTCTCCAGATTAGATTACCCAAGGGAATTATTGCCTCGGTGTGTGTGTGTGGCTGTGATACTCTTCAGTAGCTCTCTGCATTACATTTTATCTGTCTTTCTTCTCCTAAAATTTTTTCTTGGCACAGAGCAGGCCTTGACAGCTTTTCTTCAGCTCTAGGAGTCAGTCTGAAACTTTAGGAGCCAGACTCATTTTTCAGTCTTCAGAGTCCCAAAAGCTAACCTCTAACACTAAATTAACTTCTCAGATTTTCATAATTCTGTTATTCCTTTAAAAATCTCCACCTCATTGATATTGGAGCCAGTACTGAAAGGAAATACTTACAAAATGAATCGATCCACCCTTTGTACTTCCACTGAGAACCGCTGAGAGATACCGTTAGAGCACCGACACTTTAGAGTATTATATTGTATTGTTTTATTCTGTTTTTACTGTTTTAACTTCGGCATTCATGCCTCGTTGTTAGCCACCCTGAGCCTTTGGGGAGGGCGGGATATAAATCCAAAAATAAATACATAAATAAAATAAAAACTACAATAAAACGACAGCTGGAAATTCTAGGTGCCACAATGAAATTTCTAGGTGCTTACGGCAACCTGGTGCCTGGGATTTGTCAAGGCTTGGCATAGAGTTCCCTGGTGGTGTTCCATCTAGGCACTGACCGGGCCTAAACTTGCTCAACTGCAGCCTTCAGACCATCAATACGAAACCCCTCTGTTTCTAGCAGCAGACAGCCTCACCTGAGACAGCAATGGCACCCAAAGCAGTATTTCTCCAGCTGATTTGAACTCACAGAATGGAGGGGGGAAATATGGGAAGGAGCTCTTCAAGGCATTCCAGACCCAGGCAGACTTAGAAAAAAATTAAAACCAGCACCCTGAATCTGGCAGGGAAACAAAATGAACCAGTGAAGTCACACAGGATCGGTGTTGTGGGATTCCTGTGGTCATCCTGAGTTAAAACTTGTGGTGCTGCTGTCTAGACAAACTGACTTCAAGGACAGCCTTGTGTTTATAGCACACTTCAGTAGTAAAATTTCCCCTGCAGCCTCAAACTTCCGTTAAACTTTTGCTGCTTTGTAGAAGGGGTGGGAGTGTACAACTTCCTTTAATGAAAATGTAGCTAACGTCCTTCTGCACCAAGGCCACCTATTCTCCCTTCTATCATTGTTATAACAATAGTAATATAGAACTATTGGATTATGACAAAAAGGAGGGGGGGAGGGCCATTGCTTCAAGAACTGCTTCTCTCTTTTCATAATTCTGCTGTCATAGCATACGTCATCTCAGATCAAACCAGTGCCAAGTTAGTCAGCATTATTCCCAAAACTCAAGCATGAAACTTCTGCTAATGAGATCTACTATGGTTTTTCTGCAACAGTATCTCACTGCTGATTCATGTCCCATTAGCTCATGCTCCAGCTACAGAAACGTCAGGTCTGCTCACCAGTTGGAATGCCCAGCCAGATATCCTCATTTTGTACTTTTACTTCGAGTTGCCTTCTCTGATGGACCCAAAACTACTTTGAACTCTGGTATCAACCAGTTTGCAGTTTTTCAGGGCTGTGCAGAATGCAAGTGGGCTAGAGTACTCTGTCTTCTCCCTACTGCAGTCATCAATAACATTTTAGAACCCTGCAAGATCTAGAGCAAGTCCTCCCGCAGAGACACTGGACTCTTCCATCCAATTTGACTACAGGAATAGCATCCAAAGCCAGTTTCTTCAATCAGATGAGGCTTGTGTCCAAGTCCTCACTTGTGAAATGTTATATTATGTCTATTGCATTTCCCTTATTCACAAGCCAAACTGTGAAACCATCAAGTGGCTCCTCAAAATCAACAAGACACAAGGCAGAAACGACATGATCCAGAAACCAGGGACAGTAGCTTCCTCACTTTCAGATCAGCTCAGAGGCCTTCCCACCCACTTACTTGCTGCTGCTTTAATAAGAAGTTAGCCACATTTGGGAAAGGCGGTGGCAATGCAGAGGCAGAGCTGGAGCAAGAACAAAGCATCAGCAAGTCACACAACAGCATCCTATCATAAGAATTCCAGTGAGCTGCTAGAAATACTAGGGGCCCCAAGGTTTAAGAGCCTTAAAATATCAGCCCCAAGAGCAAAGCCCAGGGATCCCAAAGGGTTTCAGCACTTTCAGATGCAATTTGGAAAAAATATCTTTCATTTAGCTATCCCAAGGCCTGATATAATCTTTATTAGCATAAGACTTACCCACTGTGATTTTGCACCCAAGGGTGTCTAACAGGCAGTTGTCCAACAAAGAAAAGGTTGCAACTGGTTAATAATATTAAAAGAGTAATTTTTAATAGTACCGTACAGCATTTGGTGGAGCCACAATATCTCACAAGTGAGATACTTTGTGACATCCTACCCTGTTACTGCATGTCCACAGATTTTGAAGTAATGTGCTTCCAGGCCACTTTACTTAACTTAAAGCAGGAGCTAATATTTATAGCTTACCGGTACTTTAAAACAACCAGTGATCTTTTTATGATCATGGGACATGAATTGATAAGCCAAAGAATCACAGCCTTAGGAGGAAGGACTTCTGTAGACTGGCACAATACCCCAAGGCTAATTTCCATGACATTGAGATTTTTGTCAACCCTGCTCAGTTCTTCTTAATGGCTGGTCCCATTTACTATAGTCAATATTCTAATTATTAAAATACATGAAATGAGGGAATAAAATACTAATGTTTGCGTGCTTCGTACAGTATGACTATACAATCTCAGAAAAACGCAGGGCTCAATTTGCTTTCATGTGTATTTTTACTGACATGGGGAGAAGTTAACAAAACTTGATTCTTGTTTGATTTTCTGAAGTATGAAAAATTTAATTCTTTTCATTATCATCTCTTATTTGTGCAATATTTTAAGTGCTTTAAAATCATTTTATTCTCAGTACATACTCTTGATGCCTCTCACATCCCCAGATGTAATGATTATGGTTCATTTCTCATATTCTACCACTTATGAAGATCTAATTTTATTGGTTTTGGTCACAGACAAGAGAGTTGATCCACCTGTTAAATACTTTTAATGCATGCCAGTTTTAAGGGGGAGATTTCAGCACCTGCTTAAATCTCCATCCTCATGACAACAGGATTTAATTTTGTGTAAATGTGTCTGGATCATTGCTATTATGGCTACTTCAGTGCTTTCTGTAACACTCCAATCCTTGGAAGAGCCACTTGTTCTAGAAGGAACCTATTGCCTTCCATTCTTGGCTAGCTGACAAAATTTCAGTGAATGAAATTCTCAATAACCTCTTGAAGAAGTGAAAAGATTTGAGATTGTTCCATTGCATTTGTTTAAATGTAGATCAGCTTCAAAGTAAGCAGATGCGTAACTGCCAAGAACTCATATACAGGAGGATAGCAAAATGAAACTTTCTGTTTCATGCGCAACGTCACCTCCAAAAGATATACCAGTGATTAAAAGTCCATCATCTTTTCCAGTCCCAACTTTTATTTCACAGCATTTCCCTAAGAAGAATTCTCTGTTATTTCAATAGACATATTATATTGATGATAAACTATAAACTAATATATTATATTAGATCATGGTGATACTCTTTAAGCCACTGAGTTTATGCATGATTTACACTGCACTGGATCATGGCCACTTATGCACTGCAGTTTATTAAACAACGTTATAGAAATGGTAAACTTTATACCTCTATTTTAAAGTTTTATTTCATTTTGTATTACCTGATCTATTAAATAAAACCTCAATTTAACATTCAAAGATAAAAGTCCCCAATCATCCACCACTAAACTTACGTGTACACTCATATATAGCAACAGTAGGTATCAATCTGAACATATGGTGCCTGACATCACCAGTGCTATACCGTTACTAAGCACTTCGGAGCCAACCATCTAGAATTACCTGGTGATATATTATTCTGTAGATATAGAGCTGTTTCCCCTTATCTTAAATGTTGGTGGGGAGACATTTCAACTCCAAAAGGAGGTGGCAAATATAAAACAAATTACCAGTCCGTGCCTAAGTTTGCACAGTTCTTTGTTCCTAAGTGCTTCATTTGAAAACTTTCCATCTGCTGAGGCTTCAGAGGACTCAGCATTAAGTTGGAATGATATTGTAAACTGTAATGCAGCATCATGCTTGTGAACAAAACCTAACAGTGCAAAACTGGCTATTTTCAGAACTGCAAAAAAAAAAGCCATCTCCCTCGCAGAACAAGTGCTGAACTGCTAATAATATAAGGAGGCAGTTTTCATAGCAGAGGCATCACCCCAGGCCATTATTTATTTGGGGTACCTTTCCCCCTACCCTCTAAGAAACCTTCTTGCTACTCCAACTGACACACTGATAAGTGGAGTCCCACCCCTGTTGCAGCAGACAACACCCAGATTTAATATATCTGCAGCACGAGGCAGGCGGATATCACTGGGCCATTCTTCCCAGAGATCGCCTAAGAGCTTCAGCCCCAGCATACATATCAGCAGCCCTGGAAACACACACCAATCCACTCCACGCCCATTGACCATGCACCCATCCATGCAAACAAGCGCAGGCTTGGCATTCAACACGGCATGAGGAGCCCTCGGTCGCCTCTTCCGCTGCTGGCCCCTCTCGCATGGGTCTGCGCGGCTCGCTTACCCAGTCGCCCAAAAGGCAGCCTGTTCCTCTCCCCCAGCATAAGGTTAAATCGGGGGTTGTCTCTTTTCAGCTTCTTCCATTGTCCGGAGGAAAGAAGGATTTTGGACACTTCCGCATAAATGCTGCTGTTTTCATCTCGCACAACAAACGTGTACATCTTGAAATAAAAAGATTTGTGTGGGGGGCGAGGTGGCTGGGTCCTCCCCCGTGCAGGTCCGCGTACAAGCTAGAGAAACCACTAGCTGAAAGGCGTGGCTGCCTGAAGTCTCTCGGTGCGCCCCACAGGAGTCAATCCAGGGCAACAACCAGACATGCCTGCGGCTGGGGCTGCTGCGGGCTCATCCTCCCGTCGAGGCTCCCCGTCACAGGGCAAAGGATGGCTGGGCTCGACGTCTCTTCTCCTCTGGTGGCGGCGGCAGGGGGGGCGTGTTGCCTGTCCTTCGCTCAGAGCCTCCCGAGAGCCATTCCTCCGACAGCGCCTCCTGAAGCCCTCTGCAACGCTCCCTACATGACGACGAAGGCGGCCTCAGCACAAGGACCCAGGATCAAGAGGAGGAGGCGGCAGGGCAGCCCCCGGCTGACTGACTGACTGACCGCCCCAGCTTCCCACGCGGGGCCATGAACGTGACTGCCGCATCGGTGAGCTGGAGCTGCTGGCTCCTCGCAGCGGCAACCGCCGCTCACGCCTCAACTTTCGCCACCTTATCTCGCTTGCAGGCACACACCTCTGTCTCTCTCTGTCTCTCTCTCTCTCTCTCTCCTGGGGGGAGGGAGAAAGAGCCACCCAGCAACAGCAACCTCTCTCTCCGTGCACGGGCAAAGGAGGCTCTCCTCCTCCTCCTCCTCCTTCACGCCGACTCCGCCCCACCACGATTCAACGTTGAGCTCATAGGTCAGGGAGCAGAAAGAGGCGGGATCGGACTGCTACGAAGGGGGCGGGGCTCGGAGGGCCCCTCCCCCGACGCACGAAGGGTGCAAGGACGTCGCCGCGCCCTCCCCCTCCATCCTGTTGAAACCCCCGAGGAGTTTGGTTGCGTCCTGGGTGCTCCCTGGTTGCTATTCTTTTGGAACCCTTCGGGGCGTACTAGGAAACGGGGGATAAGGCGTCCTATTAACATATGCCTTCTGGCTCTCCCTCCACGCCTCGGCATAGGGAGGGGCATATCCGCCGTCCAAAATGACCCTTGCAGCAACAGGGACCGGACAGTAGGGGAAACTCCGGAGCCGGGTCTCTCTTCCTTGGGGCCCAACGCCGGCGTCAGACTTGCCTTGCTGTGTGCGATTAAAGGCCCGTGTAGTGCAACGCGAGCTGGCCGGGCGGCGTCGGAGCAGACCGTGTGGTTCCCGAGTAGAGAAAAAGTTCCAGGCACAGCACTGCAGGGTTTCGTTTCTTTCGGATGACTTGTGTCCTTGTTATATTGATTTCATTTACAAATGCACCAGTGCGTAAGGGCAAACGCTCCTGTTAAGTAGCAGCATCAAAACCCCAGGAGGAGGGGGCTTTGTTTTCAGTTTACCCACAGCACTCTTTCTGCTTATTCTGCTTGTATCCAAAATCAAACCTAGCCAAGAACTGTTGCGGTAAAGCTCTACAGAACAAACCTACCAGGACAATATGCAATTAACTGTGTCCTGTTGCTTACCTCCTCCATCAGCTGAACAAACATACAGTGTCATATCTCACTCTTCAAAAGAATGCACAGAAAGTTTACTTAAATATCCGGTATGCATCTTCAACTGGGGGTAGTGGTAATACTATAAATATCACCCAGGAGTCTTTGACCAGTTTTTACTACTGCTCCAGTTGATTTGTACTTCCTTTAGTGCTTTCATTACAGTGTTAATAGTCCACCCTTCACTTTTTAAATGTTTCATATGGGCATATATGTGTGCATCTGAATGTGTGCACCTGAAAGTCATGGCAGTCTCTGGTGCCTGACACCTACTGGGGGCCTGAAGGATATTCAGAGAGGTGGCTGAATAAAGCCTGCCCCCACCTCCTAACTGCTGGTATTTCAAAGAGGTCTCCCATCCAAGTACTTGCCAGAGTTGACCCTGCTTAGCTTTTGAGATCAGACAAGATCAGACTTGCCTGGGCTATCTAGGTCAGGGCTCCCTCTTCCTTTATTTTTATGATGGCCCTCTTAGAGATTGTTTTAGAGGATAGCCTGGGTCTGTGTGTTCTCACATGTGTTGCATGACTACCTGCTATAAAAGGCTGTTTCTCTTTACGCCACCATCCCAAGTGCCTCCACCCCACCCTGAGGCCCTGGGCTATCTAGGTCAGGGCTCCCTCTATCTATTTAATTTTATGATGGCCCTCTTAGAGATTCTTTTAGAGGATACCCTGGGTCTGTGTGTTCTCACGTGTGTTGCATGACTACCTGCTATAAAACGCTGTTTCTCTTTGCGCCACCATCCCAAGTGCCACCCCCCCCCACCCTGAGGCCTATCAAGTAACCAGTGCCTTCGGGTACTGCCGTGGGTCAGCCAGGGCTCAGCAACAGTGAAGTCTTTTCTGGAGAAGAGGACTCCTTAGGAGAAAAGGAGCGTCATACAGCCAGCCTTGAGTTAACAGACTGGCAGGAAAATGAGCTGCAGGCTTTTCAGGGTTCACAGCCCACAGCTGGGGCACTGATATATCTCCAGGCCCCAAAGGTATACATCTAGACATTCTGAAAGAACTCGGATGTGAACTTGTGGATCTCCTGACAAAAATACACAGTCTATTACTGAAATTTGCTTCCATTCCTGAGGGTTGGAAGGTAGCTAATGTAACTCCCATCTTTTAAAAGGCTCTAGAGAAAATCTGGGAAATTGCAGGCTGATCAGTCTAATGTCAATACCAGGTAAGTAGTTGGAATCCATTATCAAAGACAGAATTAGTAGGCACACTGATGGACAAAAGCTATTGAGGAAGAGTCAACATGGATTCTTCCATGGAATTGGGTTCAGGTGGGGTAGCCGTGTTGGTCTGAAGCAGCAGAACAAAGTTTGAGTCCAGTGGCACCTTTAAGACCAACAATGAAAGCTTATACCTTGAATAAAATTTAAAGGTGCCATTGGACTCAAACTTTATTCAGCGTGGAAGGGAAGGTCTTGTCTCACCAGCCTTTTAGAGTTATTTGAGGGAGGGAGTGAACGACTGTGGACAAGGTTGTTTACCTAGACTTCCAGAAAGCTTTTGATAAAGTTCCTGATCAAAGGCTCCAACTCAGCAGTCATGCAATTCAGAGGACAAGTCCTCTTGTGGGTTAAAAACTGGTTAATTAACAGGAAACAGTGAGTATAAATGGGCAGTTTTCATAGTGGAAGGTTGTAACCAGTGGGGTACTGCTGGGCTTGGTACAAGGTCTGGTGTTTTTAAACTTGTGACAACATGAAACTGTGATGGGCTGTGGCTTAATAGTAGAACATCTCCTTGGCATGTTGAAGGTCCCATTTTCAGTCTCCAGCTAAAAGGATCAGGACATAGATGACGTGAAAAACTTTTATCTGATACCCTGGAGAGCTACTGCCATTCTGAGTAGACCTTGATGTGTGATTCAGTAAAGCAGCTCTATGTATAAACTGGGTTGCTGAAAAGCTGATGGAGTTGGCCAGAAGACTTTGAGTTGCTGTGTAATTGTTGTGTCTCAGGTCAGCAGAAGCTTGGAGAAGGCAAACAGCACTTCCTAAACAGAGACTAGGTAGTATCTGGGATGATGGGCTGACCAGATGTTCTGCAACTGGGCTTTGGCAGAACTTGTAGTAAACACTAGCATTTGGGTGAAGTTGAACCAACAAGGATCCCAGCTGAGATGGAGTTAAATAGATGGCTTTACAGGGAAGCAAACCCTCCATTTTGGTGTAGTGGTTAAGTGCGCGGACTCTAATCTGGGAGAACCGGGTTTGATTCCCCACTCCTCCACTTGCACCTGCTGATGTGACCTTGGGTCAGTCACAAGCTCTGGCACAGCTGTCCTTGAAAAAGAGCAGTTTGTGTCAGAGTTCTCTCAGCCCCACCCACCTCACAGGGTGTCTGTTGTGGGGAGGGGAAGGGAAAGGAGTTTGTAAGCCACTCTGAGACTCCCAAGTGAAGGGCGGGGTATAAATCCCATCTCCTCCTCTCCTCCTCCTCCATTCTGTGTGTCATCCTTGGGCCTCATTCTGCAAGGAGTTAGTTGGACACTGATCCTGAAAGGAGCAATGGATGTGTGCTGAGTAATCTTTCTCTATGATGAGTACAATGTGCAAGAAAGCCGGGCCACTACTTTGTGGGCCTGCCATTGATGAGCTTCGTGGCCAGGAGGGGGAGCCCTGGGGGACTGCCAGTCTGGGGCCTGGCCGTGCGTAACTGAGGGATGGCTGACCTTGCGGCTAGAATGTAATCTGAGCAATCTGGTGGGGTTAGGTCTCTGCTGAGGTCTCTGGATCTAGGAGCTCAAAGTACCAAGGGGAACCTGGGCACGTTTGGTGAAAAGTACTGAGACTTACTAGTGAATTCAGCTCTCATACTTTATTTCAGCTCAGAACAAGACGAGAATACCCAGCTCAAAGGCTGGGTTATGTGTGCACAAACCCCGCTCCCCAAACACACCCACACACAAGTGATTGACTATTTACAGTGGCCGAGAGTTCCATAGGCTCTCGGCCAGGAGCCTAGCCTGCTGATAGGTGCCGGCTAGGATCCGCTTGTCCCATTGTTACTGAGAGCGAAGCTCGGTCGCTTCGCCTGACTGCGTGGCGAAATGGCTGCGCATGCGGTCTGAGATGGATACATTACATTTGGAGTCTTCTGAACTCCCAGACCCTTTGCTCCTTCTCAGATAAGAAGTCTGCTCCAGGGCCTGGCCTGGGGGGGGCAGTTCTGACTCCCGTGGGCAGCTGCGAAGAGAGGCCTAAGCAAAATTGTCATGTTTGAATAGATATACATATTGATGTTCACATGAATTATTAAATGTTATTTTTATCACAGTGTTTCCTTGTTTTTTTGGTATGTACCTACAACTGTGATCCCTTCCTTGTACTCAGTTTCCAGGTGGTGGTTTGAGATCTCCTGGGATTGCAATTGATCTCCAGGTGATGGAGATCAGTTCACCTGGAGAAAATGGCCTGCAATTGATCACCTGGAGAAAATGGCCTCTTTGGAAGGTGGAGTATAGGGCATTATACCCCATTGAAGTCCCTCCCCTCCCTAAACCCCACCCTCCTCAGACCCCACCCTCAAAATCTCCAGGGTTTCCCAACCTGGAGCTAGCAACCTTGGGTATGATCAATGATCCAACCCAGGCAGATCACTGGTTGTATGTGTCTAAAGCTATTATACTCTGCTCCTTTTATATCATTGGTATGGTGACCCTTTTATGTTGAACATTTTGATGTAGACTTTTGGTGCAAAAGATGTGTGCTTTGTTGTTTTGTACTGTTTTCCTATGGAACTTGGAATGTCATTCGTAATGAAAGAACAGTGGATGTTTACATTTTCCAGCAAAACTTTAAATGCTACCAAATTTATTATGACTTTTGTTTACAAATAATACACTTACTAATCTTGAAGGAGCTGTAAATCTGCTGTTTTGCTTCTCTGAGACTGCTTTCTTTTTGTCCCCTTTGCATCTCTAGAAGTAAATGTGGGCCAATTTGGTGTAGTGGTTAAATGCACAGACTCTAATCTGGAAGAACCGGGTTTGATTCCCCACTCCTCCACTTGCAGCTGCTGGATGACCTTGAGCAA